AATCTTCTTGAAATCTTAATTAATTTCAAGACTTAGGTATTTTTCTAAATTCAAGATACAAAAATATAATTTAATAATGTCACAATATAATATTTAAAATATCCGGTCATTTTTCGCATAATTACATTTTTGCCCTATACTCACATTAACTATTTATTTCCAAAAACCATCAAAATTCCTCAAACAATTCAAATAATTATTTCTCTTCGTTCTAAACACTTTTTTCAACATACATCCATTCCTAGAATATTAATATCAATTTTGAGTGTCTCAGTAAAATTGTGTTGCAATATTTCATCTGTTAAAAATATTATTCATCATTTTTCCTGAAAAGTGTCTATCCACTTCCAAATTTCATTCCGAATCCAAATCCAGCAGTATTTTCACCAAATAATGTCTAATTATATCATTTCATAATTTTAGAGTTACAGTAATTGTCAAATTACCATGTTGTCATTCGAGTGCATTTTCACCCGAAATTTAGGATTTTCATTTATTGAATCCTCTAATCCACAATTTTATCATTAATAATGCATTTTCAATATGTGAGGTGTTATATCACGCTTGTTGAATATTGTTGCACCATGAAGTTCGTCAAGGAGCTCATCAATTATTGGTAAAAAAAAATAATCAGGACCAATGATTGCAACGAGAACCCTAAATCTATGCACATCCGCCGAGTACCATTCTGTTTTTGACCAATAGAACTGGTGAAGAAAAAGAGCTTTTACTTTGTTGAATAAATCCTACAGACAAAAGGTTAGAGACTTGTTTTTCCAATTCAGATTTCTAGCGATGAGGGAACCTTTATGATCTTACATTCTCCGGTTGTGAGTTGTACAAATTATTCAGGCTCTAGTTTTTAGGGATTTTTTTTAAGGGAAAAATGTATATTATTTTAAAGGATGTAAAGTTGTGTCATTTTAAGTGAGAGAAAGAGATAGAAAAAAAAGGAGAGAGAGTGGACAAAAAAAAATAAAGGTGTGGATCCCACCTCTTTGTGAGAGTGAAATGAATAAATTGTGTCATTTAAAAGGACAAACACTTTTCCCTTTTTTAATTGTACAACTAGATGATCCCTAACCATTTAACTTTTAATTATTTTTTAAAATATAATTTCAAATAAAATCAGTTAACAAACAAGCATTTAAATAACGGTAAGTTTGCGTTCCCCATTCCAATAGGGAATATGTCGGAGCGAGAATTCTCATGTCTACCCCAAAAAGTAATTTTTCTAATTTAATTTTTGTTTTCACAAATAATTATTTTTATTTTTCTAGGGATAAACAGATATTTCTAACATTTATTAAAAAAAATTATAATTAACTTAATGTAATTATTCTTTGATTAGATGTATTAGGATTTGGAGTTAGATTATAAGTTTTCTTTTCTTTTTTTTTTGGTGAGGAGGATTATAAGTTTTCACCTGCATAATTAAACTCCCGAATCCGAATCCTAATTTTTAAGACTAGCTAATTAGTAGGACTTTTTTATTTTTCCTGATTTCAGTAAAATCAGTGACAACTCCATTTTATTTTATTTGGTTGTCGTTCTGTCGCGATCCCGATTGGGATATATTCACTCTTAAATTTATTATAAATTATGCCATGATTTTAAAGTGAATATTTTCTTACTTATTTTATTCAAAAACAAACTCGATCACTTTAAAGAAATCATTTTCCTGCATTATTGGCATCATGAGCAACATTCCCATATAAGATGACCACATGTCAAGATTTTTCATAATTAATAACCAGAGATATACTTAATCCCAATATTATGTTAATGTTAACTTCTTCATGTCATCATGGAAAGTCATCATGAAAAGCCTACAAATAGAAGAGATAAAGGCAGAAAACAATATGTATCTTGTGTGTTATACATGAGTAGATAAATAGTTAGGCTTAAACAGTCTAGGCTTGTGTAAAATATTTTAAAACTAGCCTGGTCTATTAGTCTTATATAGAGGATCAAATTACAAATTTGGCTTGACCTATATTTAAAGAACGAAAGCTTTAGGCCTGTTAGCCTGTTTAAACATATTAAACATTCAATAATTAAAATAAGAAGAATGATCTGTTTACAATTTTTTTTACAAATTACACTAAGTATGACCGGTCAGACATAGTGTAGTTTGTAAACAAAAAGTTTGTAAATATAATATTTCTCTTAAAATAATATTATTTTATTATTCAAAATTATTAAAATAATAATTTTATTTAAAATAAATAATATGATATAGGCTGACGTGTAGATTTATAGACCCAGCATGCAAAAGAAAGCTTATGACATGTCTTAGGCATATTTTATTTAACTACATTTAATAGATCGAGTTTGACTTGAAATAGGCTGAGCCGTAGGTTACTATAAACCGACCTAACCCATTTACATAGCTATACATGAGTCTAAACACCTTTTTATTGGTAGCATGTTACGCGTATGCCGGCCTCCCCGTTTTTTATTTATTGAAGGTAAAATCAAGTAAGATACTAGGAATTGAATGCTCAAAGAATTTTATCCAACATAATAAGAATATCTATTTTTATTGGAACAGATTATTTTACCTACCATTTTTTAGTTATTTTTGCCTATTATTCTTTAATACTGTTAGATCAGAATCTTAACTAACATATCTTTCTTTCTCTTCTTAAAATTCTAATCTAACAGTGTTGAAGAGTGGTAGGCAAAGATAAACAGAAAAAATAGTAAGTAAAATAGGTAAAGGCATCAATATTTCGTTGTTTTCGTATACAAAAGATATTCTACAAATACATCTGAAAGGGGTCTATTCCTCGTTACAAATTTTAAAATCAAATAGAGAGAAAGCATTAAGAATATAAAAAATAATAATAATCATAGAAAGAGAAGAAAAAGGAAAGCAAAATACTATTGATGGAAGGCTAATCTCTGATCCATGATGAGCCTGGTCGAATGAATGAACATAATAATATTTAGAAAAAGGTGACACATAGGATGAGGTTATAGCTAGCGATATCGTTTTCATTGTGACACTGATGATAATTTGATGGAAGCTCCTCATTGGTTGGTGAGCCACCAACATCAACCTTCTGCCCATGTTTTCATGCAACAAATCAGGGTTTTTAGATTTATAAACAAGCATGTATATATGTACTGCTTCCATTTTCCATTTTCCATTTATTCTCTCTCTCTCCTCATTTTTTTTTTTTTTAAGATGGATAAGTACTGTTCTCTTTATTCCTTTGCTTCCTTAAATCACTTTTCAACCTTTCTAGTTTTGTCACTCCTTTTTTCTTGTGAAATTATAAAAGTTCTCGTGAAATTATAAAAGACAATATATATATATATATATATATATATATATATATATATATATAAAGCATCAAGATCGATTAGTAGTGCATTAAAACAAAAGAAGCCGAAGAAGTAACATCCATATATATATATAAAAAGCCGGTTAAGTTTCCCGCAAGCATAAAACCACAATGAAACTTTGCTTTGAATGGAAAGGAATGTGCACTTAACATATTTTCCATTTTATGAATTCAAAAACCAAAAATTCCAATTCTCACTAGATTGATGAACCTTACTTTTCTTCCAATATCCGATAGCATGCTCTTACTCCAACCCCCATTCCTTGGCCAACTCCACCGTTCTTGCTATATATCCCATTATCTATACCATGTATGATCTATATCATACCCCTTTTACCAAATTACTTTTTTAAATTCTTCATTCTTATCCCTTTCTTTTTTCGCACACTCACATGTATTTTCTAGTTTTAGTCTCTTCCTATGGTTTTATCCCTTTAGGCTTGATTATGTGCCTACGCGACACCTACACAAAAATTGACAAAAGAAGGAAAAAAAAGTAAAAACAAGACACGTACACACGTTTAAATGCACACATAGAAATGAAGTATATGGTCATTGATAGATAGCTTGAGCAAGGTACATTCGTACCCACAAGACATTTATGTTATTACGTATGTTCACGAAACATGTATATTTTGCACAAATGCCTGAAAAAAGGCATAGAAAAGAAAGAAAGAAACAAAGTACACCGTTTAATAGAAAACAGCTCAACCTGTGTAGTATTTGGGTAGGTAGGCATGTGATGACTACTAGGTTTCTTTGGACATAAGATTCATGCGGCAGTCAAGAAAACCACCATTGTTGTTGATGTTGTCGTCTCACAAAAACAGTTCCTAATTATTAGTATGAGCCTCTATAGTCTATACCCTTTTAATATTTTTAAAATTCTCCTTTTTAGAGGAATCTTCTGCACAGGTTCAGGGAATTTTTCACGTGCTTCGTCAACTTGATTGATTAGTGCTCACTCATATTTCTGTCAGCATATTCACTCTGGCTAACATTAACAATTTAAATATTTTTCATTTTTTCCTTATAATTTAATTAATAATTCAATTAATAGTACCAAGTGTTGTTTTTTTTATTCTTTTTGTAATGTGTAATTATTTGAACTATTAACATTTGTAACAGTTACTAATTTGAATTAAGTACATGCTAGATCACTTGACTTTGGCTATGTACTACATTCTATATTAAGAGCATACAAAATTTTATGGGAGTGATCAGAAGCATCGTATCTTGCGAGGTGTACTTGAAACTTTAAAAGGGCAACAATAGTCACGTCTTAGTGGGAGGCACTAGCGAGGTAGCCACAACCTTTAAATTCCAAAGTTGAAAAAACCATTGCACATTTCTTCTTGGGAATTAATGCTCCCCACTCTTGGTGGGATGTCACAAAGATATATTCCACACAGCCTTAAATTAAGTATACATTGTGCAGCAAATAGAATTGAATGGTTTGAAATGAGTCCCGCATCTAGATTAAAATTGTTTGGAATATCAACAAGAATAAATGAATGATAATAGTTCTCTAAAGTATTCAACACGGTTTATTACAAACAATTTTGAATTATACAAAGCAGCTGAAAAAAAAAAAAATTAAAGAAGAAATGAATAGAACAAACCCAACAAATATGACAAAAGGAAAATGTACATGAGTACAATCAATTCCTTCTCCTTGGTATATGATCTACGAATGAAAACCTAACTTAAAAAGGGCCTGGATAATCATAAATCTATACAGCATATGTGTATCCAAGAACTTCAATGTCTAATAATATTTATATGAGTTTCTAAAATCAGAAGATATATATGTGATGTAATCAATACATATAAATGATCCTAAAATATTATTAAAAACCAAACTTTCTTTGTCTCTTCATCATGTATATCTCTTATTCTTCAATAGTCATCCCAAAGGCATTCCAAATCAGAGAGGGGAGCAACTGAAGAAGGACCCTCAAGATCTTCATACAATGTTCTATTCCTTCCCATGTCTAGCTTCGAAACCACTGAGGATGTGTCAGTGTTTCTGTCATTGCTCATGCATGTGTCCTGCGAGACACTCACCACAGATTGGTTGGTAGAGAATTGCTCCATCTTGCACTGTTTGTTCAATGCTCCAGAAATAACATGATCATTGTTGCTCCAAAAACCTGAACCAGCTGCAACACTAGGCATGGAAATGTTCTTGCCTTGGTGTATATAATAATCTGAGAGCATGTTATGCTGAGAAAGGGTGCTTCCCATTGGATCACTGAAATTCCCTTGGTTGGTCTCATAGTTTCTGTGATCTTCTGGCTTGATCAGCATCTGGTTTATGTTGTTGTTGGTGGTGGTGAAAAAGCTGGGAATGTTGTAGTAGTTGTAAGATGGTGTTGATTTAGTTGATGATGATGGTTGGCTAGTGCATTTGAAGTCATTGTCAATGTAACTTGAAGGCTTATTGGTGGTGTGGTTGTAAGGAGGATCCACAAGAGGTGGGAGTGAAGAAAAATCCACAAGATCATCCCCAAATGAGTTCATCCTCCAAAGCCCAGGAATTGGGGTTTTTTTAACATCTGTGTTCTTGTGAAATATCTTGGAGACAACCCATTCATCCTGCAATAATATCAAGCATCCCAAGAAATTAAAATAACTGTTAGATTCTTTACAATTAAACTAAATAAAGCCAAAGGTATGATTAGAGTACCAAAAGAAAAAAAAAAAAAAAAAACTCTCAAAACAACACAAAAAGGTGCTTTCTAAAAGTGATATATAAAAGTTAGGGATATTGATGAGAAAATCCATGATTAAAATCTCAATCTTTTTCCTCTCACAAAATTAAGAGAAAATTACTCCCGTTAAATCCCAGGCTAACGAGGGAAGAGGTGAAGATAATTTTTGTACACAGTCTTATCCTTGAATATTTGCAAAGAGATTGTTTCCTCGTAATCCATAAAAAAAATGGTGAAAAAATATATATATAAAAAAAGATAGAGAGAGATAGAAGGTACCTTTGCAGTCTTAGGGAGGTTGTGACTTGCAAATTTGCCTTCCAATCTGAATTCATGCATAACCCAATTAGATTTTTCCCCCTTTGGAGCTCTCCCTCTATAGAACACAAGGGTCTTCTTCATCCCCACCAAGTTACCTTTCCCTTTAAAAATCTCCTTATCTTTTCCAGTGGCCTTCCAGTACCCTGATTCTGTTGCTCTATTGGTTCTCATGCCTGTTGGATACTTCCTATCTCTAAGACAAAAGAAGTACCAATCTTTCTCCCCCATCTTGGCTTTCTCTGCATAATTATTATATATATATATTCATATGGTTAAAATCTACAAAAAGAAAATATTAATTCAGATCAATGAATAATCATGATAACAACAATATATAATCATCAACATCATCATCTAAGTTTGAAAACCAAAGGGAAAAAAAGAAATAATAATCAAAATAAAAATAAAAATAGACTTACTTGGTAAGTCCCAAGGCTCACACTTGTTCAAATCAGCTTCACCAATAGCAATTGCACTGAAACTGCTATTCATCACTTTTTCTATCAGATAACAAGTTATGATCTCTTCATCCGTAGGGTGAAACCTGAAACCTGGAGGCAAATTCAGAGGTTCTTCTCCTTTGTTCACAACAACCGGTTCTTCCATGACCAAAGGCTCTATCAACAAAATTCTTATACACGAAACAGATATGGTTTTGATGGGTTATAACTTATATATATATATATATAAACAAACAAACCCCGTATTGAAGAACAAGCTTATAAGCAACTTCAGGGAAATAGACAAAGCGAGTGATGAAAGAAGAATAATTGAAAGAGTTTTTTTTTTTTAAAAAGAAAGTAAAAAGAAGAGAAGATGGTGTGCTTAAATAGAGGGGAGCGTCTATACACAGCTCATATATTACGGTGAAAGATCCGTGGGGTGGAAGGCACTTCCTGAGGAAGCTTACAAATATTGTTTTATTTTTCTTTTTAATTTTTAATTTTTAATTTTTTTTTTCTTTCAAATACGTGTATTTGATTCGTATATCCTATCTATGTTATGTTATTCTTCGATATACCTGCCTGTTAGAAAAAAAAATGTAATCAAAGAAATGGTTAGAAAAAAGAGGGGCATTCTTGTGGACCCGCTCTGTGACGTCCATGCTCCATCATTTTTTCTCATTTAATTAAATATCTACTACAACTTGATTCACTCGGTTCAATTCAACCGAACGTACGGTTGAGACACAATAAAAAAATAAAAATAAAAAAGCAAGAAACTAAAAGAACTAATTCATACCCCAAAGGTAGCTGAGTTGGCAACTGAGTTTCCTAGGGTTTGCTTGAGTCAGGGGTTCAAACCCTGTCTCAAGTAATTTTTTGAAAAATCTATGGGAGCTAGAGGATGTGCCTTCCTCCTCGAATGGGGGAATTAATCTTTGAGAGAGATAACACCATGTTAGATTGTTAAATTTATTGAGTTAAATAATAATTAACATCAAAAATAATTTTCATTTATCTAATGATTTTTCAAATCCGGTATATTTAAAAATGTCAAATTTATTGTTAATAATGTCAATTTGATAATTATATTTTATTTTTTTCCTAAGTTACCGAAAAAAGAATGCTAACACGTAATTTTTTTTATTAAATTGAAAAAAAATCGACATTGTTATTTTGATATTAAATTAAAAATTAGTATTAGTTTAATATTAATTTAAAAAAATATATGTCAAATATTATTTAACACTATACAAAATTCTAATTTATCTGACACAATCTGTTAAAATTCTTGCAAATTGAAAAAAAATTAAATATATTTTTAACAATCGCAATTTGACAATTGATATTTTTTCGTGTTCTTCCAAAAATTTCAATCCTTGAGCAAAGAAAAAAGTTGTCAAATTTCTATTATTAAACATAAAGGTAATTTTGTTGAATTTGCAATAATTTTAAAAGATCATTGCACAAATAAAAACTATTTATTTTTAATTTTTATTTAATTGATTTAATTTAATGATAATTTTCAATTTTATAATAAAATAGTAATACTAGTTTAATTCAATTTATGTAGAATGAAATGATATAAATAAAATTTTAGACCTATGACTACTATTCTTCCACGTGACAGAACTTTCTGTCACGTGTAACTAGTATTCTGCCGGAGCGAAATTATAAATAGGGTTTTATTAATTTTTTTTACATAAGATAGGTATCTTATATTGTAGAGAGAAATTAGGTGGGTCTCATCATTACAAGAAAAAAAAATGAGATACGAAAATCAAAGTGAAAAAAAATGAGATAAGCTATCTCATATAAAAAAAGACTAATATTTCCCTTATAAATATGGCATATCGATAGTTTGCAATCCCTTGGCATTTTGACAAATAATTTAAAAACCCAAACGCATAGGTAATTGTGCCGATCATGAATGCCTTTTTACTTACATAATGTTTACTTATTCCATATTTAATTAAAGAAATAGTTATATTTATAAATTTTTTATTTTTAAACTCTTATAAATTATATTATGTTTGAACTGTAAGACACTATTGAATGAAATTTGACCGGTCAGATATAATATAATTGGTAAATTTATAAAAAAAAATTGCCAATGTAACTCTTCACTAATTAATGTGAAACTTAACTTTTCTTCTCTCATAATTTTAACACCAGCAGGATATTTCATACCCTGGAGCCACATGTTAGTTGGGGCGGTCTCGGTTCGGGCTAAAATTTAACAAATTATACTTGTCATGTATAATTAATTATAATTTGGCCCTGTTTAAAATTGTAATTTGGCCCGAGTTAAAGTTTATAATTTGGCCCTATCAAAAAATAAAATATATTTGGTGAGAGATTTGAGTAAGTTGTATTAAGTTATGTATTCCATTTTCACTTATATAAAAAAATTTAAATATAGTTAATAAAATTAAAAATTATTTAATAAAATTATACCTCTTTTTGATACTGTCTACTCAAATGTTTTGTATTTAATATAATTTAAATATTATAATATAAACTAATTAAAATTAAAAAAAAAAAATACACTTATAACTTTTTAGCCGGGCTCCAAGTGGACCCCTGCCTCAGCCACTGATTTCATAGCCTACTTCCATCACCAATTCTCGACCATCTCTGCGGAGGCTTTCAGTTCAAAGCTTTGGAAGATAAAAACAAAAAATATGTACAAAAGGAAATCAATTTTATTCTTTCAAGTTTTCTCTAAAAACGGTGTGGGTGAATGTTAAATAGTTGCCGCTACTGGTTTAGTTGAATTTGACTTTTGTCTACACAAACCCGCAGCTGTTGTGTAGCTAGCTTGGTTCAGCAGCTTCATGTAAGGTCACATTTGTTTCCTAATCTCGCTGACAAATAAATTACTTTTAACTATTTTTATATATCAATTTATAGTCCTTTTATTATTTTTAAAGTGTTTAATTTTTTTTTATTTTTTTATGAAGAATAGTATATATTATTTTATAAATTTTGAATTGATTATACATATATTTTATTATAATTTTCAATATTTTTAATTTACATTTCCAAAATTTTATTTGAATTAATTTTGGAAATATTTTTTAATTTATATTTTATTTAAATGTAAAAGTACTCGTTCTTTAATGCACAAAAAACTTATATGGTATAATAAATTCTTTTGTCAAAGAAATTATTACATTTTCGGATATCATTCTCTTATATTGATGGAAAAGAAAATTTATTATGAAAAAAAAATAACTATGTACTGCAGGTAATATATAGTTATAATATTAAATGTTATCTTTTTTTCCTCTATTCTCAAATATTATCGGCTGAAAAAAATAAATTTTTTTTTTTTGGTACATTGCCAGGAGGTATCCCCATTCAACCTTCTCTGGGTACCATACCCTCGGGGTACGGCCCGTTTGGGCTAGCCCCTCATTGTAACAGTGGGTGCACTAAGCTTCGTAACCGGAGAAAGGACGAGACCCGTTTGGGCTAGCCCCTCATTGTAACAGTGGGTGCACTAAGCTTCTCAACCGGAGAAAGGACGAGACTAATACCCCAACCGAAGATTTTTGGTTTATCTTCTGAACCCAAAAGATTTTCCTAGAAACTGTTGAGGCAGGGTTTGATCCCTGCATCAAGCAATCTCTTGGGATCTCAGCTGCCAACTGAGCTACCCTTGGGGTTGAAAAAAATAATTTTACCATTATAATTATATACTATTCGTAATACATATTTATTTTTATTTTTTTCAATAGATAATTTTTTTTCAACATGATAAAAATGAAACCGTTCATTTATTAGGATGACGGCAACGATTCCCCGCATAAATGCAGATGATTCAAAACCTTTGTCTGTTAAGAACAATCACAGGGCTATCACGCCATATAAGTTAAGAGAAGGGGCAGTAATATGGGGATGCTAATTTTCTGAACAGGTTTCCAATGTTTGATTTTGGCTGGCAATGCAGATGAGGTCTACCCAAAGAAATTATATATATGATTTTTAATTAAAAAATGTTTTTTTTTTCTAAATCAACTGAGCTTTACAACTGTTTTTCTTTTAAGAAAAAAAAACTGCACTAGTTTTCACTATAAAATGTAATTTGAAAAGCTAAAAAAAAAATACTCAATTTATAAATGGGAAAATTATTTATTCTTTTAAATGACATAACTTATATCATTTCACTCTCACAAAGAGGTGGAACCCACACCTTTATTTTTTTTTGTCAACTCTCTCTTTCTTTATCTATTTATTTCTCTCTCTTAAAATGACACAACTTTATATCCTTTAAAATAATGCACACATTTTCCTTTATAAATTCCACGTATTACATATATATGTTTTGGACCAACTCAGATAGGCCTACTTGGGTCTCCTCATTGGATCGCTCAATCCACTAACTCACCTAAGGATAAATAGTCTTTTTTATATATGATTTTTTCTTACTCTCTCCCACGTTTGATCCTCGGACGTCTCCAATCACATATCCTTACATATTAGTAAGACTTATAGGACTAGAAAATGGTTACGGAAGTACACTTTCCATGTTAGAGGAATCTTTCTCGATTATATATTCCTCCATTCATTATCATAAGAGTCATATTTTCCACCATTTCTCTCTTTGATCCTTAGCTTGCTTGAGACTCTAATGGTGACCATTCTTGAGCTATAACGTAGTTTGATTGTTGCACCTCGATTCAATCATTGTTTCATTAATCTACTTCACTCTTCAAGCTAAATATCTCCTCCTTCACTCCTCTAGTCCTCTACCAATTTAACATTTATTTTATATACATCAAGGGAATATAATGAAAATGCCTTTTTTTGAACAATTAATTATGCTTTTTTAAAAATTGTGAAGTTGTTATGGGTGATAGTGTAAAAATCTGTGTGGTTGATTATGGCGATATCAGTAAAAAAACACAAAAAATTGCATGCAATCACAAAAAATCAGAATGTAATATGCAAGAATAAAAATTACAGAAAATCAAACTTGAGTCCATTATTAAATAATGTGTACTTAAAGCAATTTTTTCCCCTTAACAGTGTCTAAGGTTCATGGACAAATACCTCCCAAGATAGAACGGGTTATCATTGTTTCAATGGTGGCACAACCAGAAGAAATAATATTGGCAGACACAAGTAACACTGATCAATCGCAGACCAAGGCAGTAT